TATATATCTCAACAGGCATTATAGTATCTTCTTAAAGAATTGCCCCCTTTAAAAATAAACACTGAACTTTTTCTGACTAATTCCATAAGTCTCCTTTGTTAAATAGATGGATGGTTGCACCTTCTTGTTTCCTTGTCCACCTGCTTAGTAAATCATTTTCCATGCTTCGACTTTAAGTCCCTGTGTTTGCCTTTGCCAGAGAACTGTATTTCTTGCAGGCAACAAATGGTTGAAACTAGCCAAAGTATTTAACAGTTGAGATCATTGCTTCTTAGGATCGCAATTAAGATATATTTGCCAGTTCTCATAACTTTGCTGACTGTTTTCTTGCTTAGTTCCAATAGTGTTTGTTCTTTGTTTTTCTCCCCATTTGTTTTAGGGGTTTGGTGGTTCACTAAATTGTACATGTTTGCTTCTTTCCTAACTCAACTATTCCTATCGTAATGTAATTTTTTCTTGTGCCATCTTGCTGTGTCTTTCCATTTTCCTCTGTGCTAGAATTTCTTTTCAGATTTTTCTATAATTTTGGCTTAGTGATCATGAATGTCTTGAGTTTGTTCATGCACTACTTTCAAATGCCAAGTAGGTGCTGGCAGAGAGGAGCACAGTCTTATTCAAGCATTTGAGATCTTACTAACCATAGGAAAGTTATCCATGTTTTCCTATTTGGACTTCTAGGTATTCCATACTGTGGTTGTGTATAGTGTACAAAGAGGTCTTCTATGTTATTTTTTAAAAATGAGCAGAATGATTTCAGTTAGATCCCATCTGTCACAGAGATATTTCTTGTTCTGAGATTTACCTAAAACAGCCAAACTTATCAGTCACTTGGTAACTGAGTCGGAATAGTATGTCAAATATTTTGATCTTTATTGCACTTTGACTTCATTATGGGTACTACAAATATGAAAATATTATCACTTTTTAAGGAACACCCCATCATTCTTTACATCACCACTGGGTTGCTGAGATGCTTCTTTAATACAGCAAGACTTGAAGGTTTCCAGGGTTTGCTCCTACCCTCTACATGCATGTGTTTTATTATGATGTCCAGAAGGTCTATTATTCCTTGATGGTCAATTCCAAATTGCTTCGTATTAATTATCAGTGTGGTGTTCTATGGACTAGCGAGGCAATTATAATGGAAAGAGAGAGTAGTTACTACTCTGGAGAAATACTCTACAAGGTGTGTCATTCACATTGCCATGTGAGTTCAAATTGCTAGTGATGCTTTTTCCCTACTGAGTGGAAAGGAAAAAACATTTTACGTATCAATAGCTTTATAGGTGAGGTCAAGGATAGTCTTGGTCTGTTCTGGCCACTACACATCATTTATAGCGACGGCCATGATGATCATAACATAAAATTTCAATTGCCCGTTTTTGGTAACTACTCTAGTGAGCAGGAAATCTTATTAAGGATTTAGAAGAAATTTCTACCTCTGACTCAGTCCTTTGTTAGGGGTCATACTCCTGGTTTTCCTGAGGTGACAGCGTAGATTTCACTTAGGTAACTCTGCTGACGTGAAGATAGGCTAGCTTAATGACTTACACTTGTCCCTTCCTAACACAATAACCTTCACTGGGAAGCATGTAGTGGATAAGGAATATGTCTTTACTAAATATTTCTGTGCTAAGGACCAGTGGAATGACCCCAAAATGAGTTTTAATGGGCCTATTGTAAGACAATCTTGGGCCAAAACTTGACGTATTGTCTAAGCTCCACTATCCTCCTTTGATAATCTTGGATCAAGACTCCACATCTCATCTCATCTCCACTTGTCTCCACTTGACAAAACAACCACATAACATTTTGCATCTCTACAAATTAGCTCAAAACTATTTTCTTTATATGATATATATGATTATGATTTATGCTTATTTCTCATTTTAATGATCCCAACTGGCCAATTGCTCCCGATTTCTGTGATAGCAGTGTAGCAGAAGTTTCATGGTACATCAGTTACCTGATGTATACTTGTAGCTATTCCGAAGGGCCCAAATCCCCAAATGATCTAGCCTTCTCCTCCATTGAGAGCCTCTGAGCCTAAGAATAGGCTTAATTATGGGAACTTGCATAATGCCTAGGTTTCTGCACATCAGACCTAAAATATTTCCTCTTACATAAGCCAAGACTTCCAGGAGATGTCAATCTATATTAATGTCTTCATATCCTGTGACTAATTAGTCTTCATCACACATTAAAATAGTCTGATTATCATTCTGTCAGTGTGCCCTGTGATAGTAATTGCCTCTCTAATCTCTGTGTTGCCACCTGGTTTTACCAGTACAGGATCCAATTAGTGCCACTGAAATCAGAGACCTCTAATATATTACAGCATGCCCCACTTGCGCCTGTAACCTGCACAGGACAGGTGACAACGGGCGCCTCCAGGAATGCTGGACTTCCTTGTCGACATACTTCTCAATTTCTTGGGGGACATAACTATCCTTCAGACACTCCTTTTGAGGAGCTGTGTATCAATTACTTTCCCTGTTGCTGTGATAAGATGCCATCGCAAGAGCAATGCAAGGAAAATGGGATTGATTTTGGTTCACAGCTCAAAGGGACCGTCCAGCCTAACAAGGAAGGCCTGGCGGCAGGAGCTTGAGGGAACTGGCCACACTACCTCGGCAGGCAGCAAGTGGAGAGAGGAGTAGCTGTTCAGCTCGCCTTCTGATTTGTATTCAGCTGTCCTTCCCAGTCCGTGGAATGTTACTGGCCACAGTTAATGTGGGTCCTTCACATCAATTAGTTAATCTACATAATCCCTCAGAGTCATCCTCAGAGGGTAATGTCATCCAGTCTCTCACAGGTGCACCTGAAGGCATGTGTCCTTGGTGATGCTAGACCCAGTCAAGTTGACCATCAGTATTAACAGTCGCAGATGCTGGAATAAGGAAGCATATGAGAAGTGTGCACAAATGATCCATCCCAATATTCTAATTCATTGAGCCTTCAGGCCTATTCCCATGTAAAATGTTAAATTCTGACATTTTGTTTTTTTAGTTTGAAGGCCATCATTGACTGTAGGTCTTGATTAGGTAAATTGTAAATGCTAAGCTTCACATTAATGTGCGTATGTACGGGAAGTCAGTTTGGTTAAGTCAATATTAATCTTAGAACAACCTCAGAGTTAGCTTTAAGAGCTATTATTTCCTAAATCCACGCCAGCCATATCCACCAGATTTTCCCACTATTGCCAGTGCATTGATTCTCCAGTCTAACTCTGAGGGGTCCTTATAAACTTTGAAAGGAGTGCCGAACCTCGGCTGTTTAATTGCCCTCTGATACCCTTCTATCATAATTTAATCCTGGGGAGCAGACTACTGTGCGCTCACCCTCGCTTGCCTCTCCCTTCAGCCCTCCCAGCTCACTCGGCACAGCCACACGGGTGTTTCTTCCGTTCTTAAACACACCAGTTAGTTTCTTCCATTCTTGAATGTTTGCTCCATCTCTTTCCTTTGCCTAAAATGTTTTTCCTTCTGATCCTTGGAAAACTGGCTCCTTACAATCCAGACTTCCGAAGAAATGTCTTCTTTTTAGAGAACTCAGCAGTGTCCTTTCCAGCACCTAAGTACTGTTTTGTTAGTTTTTCCTTCTATATTGCCCTGCATATTGGTTATTTCCTTTGACCTTTAGAATATTAGCACAAATTTTATAATGACATGATTTTTTTTTTTTTTTAGTAAACGTCTGTCAAATGAATCAATGAACGCATGAATGGGAGGAACTGCTTTGGTTAATGTGATTTCGCCAAAGGGAAGCCAAGATATAAATGATCCATTAACTAAATTATTGGGAGAAGCAGAAATTAGGGCTAAAAGGACATGAAGTCTGATGCAATTGATTTTTTGAAGTGCTCAAGTTGTTTGTTATAAAGCAGTTATTTAATTACCAGGGACCGAGTATTAAAATGGAAGATGATCAGGTTATTTGTAAAGAGGGGACTTTTGTGTTTGAGAGCGAACTTAGCCAGTAGAGTGCTTGTCTGTCAAACAAGCATGGGGACCTGAGTTTACTCTCTAGAATTCATGTAAAAAGGCTGTACATGGTGGCCTGTGTTTGTAATCTCAAGTGAGGGGAAGGTGGAGACAGGCAGATTCCTGGGGTTCACTGGTAAGCCATCCTAGTCAGTGGGTAATTCGCAGGTCTCAGTAAGAGGAGCTATTTCAGAAAACAGTGGGCTAGAGAGATGGCTCAGTTGATAAAGTGCCTGCTGTACAAGCTCAAATACATGGGTTTGGATCCCTAGAAACCATGTAAGCAGCCAGGTGTGGAAGCATGGTTGTGCAAGTAACATTGAAAGGATGGAGACAGGTGGATCCATTGACGCTAAGGGGCCAAGCACCTTGGGTGAATTGATGATCTTCAGACTGAGTGAGAGACTCTGTCTCAAAAAATAAAGCTAAGAGTGGTCAAAGAAGATCCTCTAAGTTGACCTCGGGCCTTCATACACACTCATACAAATGTTCACATTCATGTTCACCTGCATGCATAAATGAACACACTCACACTTACACAGAATGTCCATACACTTATACTCATACAAATACCAGGTGTAGCACCTGAGAATGAAATTACCCAAGATTTTCCTCTGGCATGTAACACACACACACACACACACACACACACACACACACACACACTGAGAGGAAGGAGAGAGAGAGGAACAGTGAATAACTACACAAACATATTTTTTAAAAAAAGTAAATACTAGAACTTTGACCCCAGAATGGCAGAAAATATCCCAATCCATTACCCGCAGTAAGCAATGCAGGAAGTTAACACACAACTTACCCAAAGGTCCAGGTCTTACTTAGTGTGCGGCTTCCCCACTTTCAGCCTATGTTTACAAGCTAAGATCCATTAAACCAGTCTGAATGTGTACCTATATCCACTTGTAGGGATAAGCCCTCCCCTTGGGGGTGGGCTGCCCTCGGGCGTATGTTTACTGATATATTGGGCGGGCAGAGGCTGCGCGCCCCTTCCCTTCCTCTCCTGTCTCCGCCGGCTACTCCGCTGGAACCTTGGTTTCGTGAGTCTGGTTTTGTTATTAAACTTGTTCAAATACCTATTATCTTTGGTGATTATTAATCCGACCGCTGCATCCACTCATGTAAGATGTCTGCTTCTAGCTGGCCTGCCTGCTGTACTGTACACCGACAGCCTCCAGGTAAGGTCCACTGTGCACCTTCCCTCTCTTCTACTCTAAAGCTCTCCCACTCCTCTGCTTGTGTTTGAGTCTCTGCCAAAACATGTGATGGTGTCCAAATTCCTTTACTAGTGAGCTCTGAAGAAATAGCCTTTAATCATTCTTAGTTGGGTGGTCTTCACTGATTTCCACAAAGACACCAACGCGTACGGTACCTAGAAAATTCAGGGTGATGGAGGTATGCGGTGAGAATTTTCCACACAACTGTGCTGTGTAGACCAGACCTCTTGAACCTGAGATGAAGCTTTGCATTAAAGTGTTGTGTCGGGAGAACCATGTAATGCCAGGAGCATCTAATGAGGTTGCGTTGTACTGTGTGATACATGTTCCCTGGAGAATTGACTAGCTATCATTATGCAGTCTCTCCATTTTCTCTCTTCACCAAAAAGGACTGAGGGGATGAGTTTGAAAATGGTATAAAGTTTCTTTCAGAAATGTCTGCAAATTAAATATATGTAATTATGTATGGCTATTTATCCTTAATGGATGTTTCAGAAACAGAATTCTAAGGGAAACTGCCTTACTGTTGTGGTTGCCTATTTGGGTATTGTGAGCAAGAAAGCAATTGCTTTATTCAAACCATTAATGAAATGTCACTGTCAATCTAGCTCTAACTGCATCATGTGCTTTTTATTCTTTGTGTTAAAAATAAAGAAATATAGATGGGAATATTTCCAGATATCATCTTGTTCCTTTAAAAATGAGCCGTGTTCTAATGGCAAGCTTTGTCCTGATTTCTTATTTATAAATTTCACTATAAAAATCAGAGCTCTAAATCTGTGCACAATAAATTTGGATGATAGTGTTTTCCTTAAAAAAAATCACTCTGTCCAATAATACTTGCTAATTTCATTGATGGTTTAGTGATTTTTCCCCCTCCCTTTTCCCTTTCTTTGTTTGACGTTTGTTTCTGTAGGTAGGAACTTTCTTTCTAATTAACCTTCCTCTCCCCGTGGCCCTACGCTTTCTTCCCTGGATCCTGATAAATGTTTGATGATCCCAGGCTTTGAAAGAAAGAATTCTTAAGAAATAGTAGGTTGATATTGACTCGCATTTCCTGGAGTGATCTGAAAATAGAACGTCTGGCATAATTTTCCGTGCACTTCACAAACATTGCCTGGCATTTCATGTATCAACCTGGCTGGGCTGAAATATGGAGGAGGGGATGAAACCAGCTCCTTAAAACTAAAAGATGTTTTCTCCCCCTGGATAGCCCCGTGTCAGGGCACCCGTACTTCTCCCTGATCTGACTCCCTCACATTCCTTAGCTCCCCTGGAAACTGGCTAAACTCAGTCAGTTAGTGTTCCGTGGAAGCAGCTGCGTTGCTGGGGCTAAGAGAATGTCTGCCATGTGTGAGGGTGTTGGTTCAAATGTTTGAGCCTGTTTGCTGGTGGGTCTAACTGGCCCGTGATGGAAGGGAGATGCTGAGCCACCAAGATAGTATTAGCAATGGCGTCATTCCTGGAAAACTTCAGTTTATTCTACTACTTCGGGTGGGAAAAGGGGTCTGAAGGATATGTCTTGCCCTCTCTGTTGAGGAGGGGAAAGGACGATGCTCTCAGTGGGGCTAGCAAGTGATTAGATGGCAGACAAGGCACATGAAAGGGATACTGTCCTTGGTGAGAGTTCTGGGTGTCTTTTTTTTATTAAAATTTATTTATTTTTGCTGGCAGGACCCTCAACTGCCTTAGGCAGTTTTAGAAGCACCAATAACGTCACACGGGGCTGTGGAAATGAGGAAACTTGAGGCTTAATCACTGTCTTTGGTAAGCTGGCATACCCTCTCCAATGGCAGTAGTATTAACTAACTTGCGCTTAGCACTGCCTCATAGAGGCACAGTGAGGTGACATGTAAGCTACATTCTTTCAGTCTTCGCTATGACTTCATGGCATGGCTACCCTCACCATCACCCCTTCCCACGCAGTGAAACTGAGACTGGTCCACGCCATTAAGTCTGGAGAAGAGCAGACATGAAGAATTCCTCAGGTCTAAATCCAGGACGGTTTCTCTTGCATTCGGAAAGAACAAAACCCAGTAGCGCATCCCTGGATCTGTTCTCCTTTCGTTCTTGCTTATCCAGAGCATCTTCCCCTTGTTTATAAAGGAAATGAGAGGACTGGGGTACACTCCGAGTGGGACTAAAGCAGCGCCAGGTCCACACTGGACTTTATTTGGGGTCTAAGATTGAGATTTTACTTCATCATACACGATAGCTACTTCATTACACATGCTCCAGTTCTTGCATTGGGGTTTCCATTATCTTTTTTTTTTCCTTCCGGGGCTTAAAATACCTGTCCCCAAATTTACATTCCTTACACTTTCCCAATCCCAAACCCCAAATTCTGATTTCTCTTCTGACTTTCAACTCTAAATTCATGTGGCCATTCATTTGTTTTCACCCCCATTTGTTTTCTTTACGATGTCATTGGCGACCACTTCCCACTCTCTCCTGACCAGCCCTCATCTTCAGAGCCCTGCATCCCCCATTCCAATTTTGGACCAATCATCTGTAGCCATTAACTGACTTAACAAATCTCTCTGTCAGTGGGATACTTTATGGAAATTGAAAACTAATTAACATTTATCTCAACAGCTAATCACATAAAATCTACTGCCTTCTTAATGCAGGTTCTAAGATAATGATGGCCCATGCACTGTGCAAGGGAGATCTTGATAGGTCCTGACAGGGCCCAAGCTGAGTTGAGAGGGGGTAGGAAGACGTCAGCCCCTTTTGCTAATGAGGACCACGAGGCCTGCAGCATCTGAGAGTTGCTAGAGGAAGGAAGCCTCAGTGCTCCAATAGCAAGCTACACAGGCTACACACACACACACACACACACACACACACACACACGCACACACACACACACACACACACGCATGCACACACATTCACATTCTTGTTTTGTACTCACACATGTACATGTGCACATCGTCACACAAATATCTGACTGACACCAAAAAAGTATTAGCTTCAATGTCTAAAAGTCGTACTCTTAAAAAGAGCCTTGTTCCTCCTTCTGGTTATTCATTTTGCAAACATTAACCATTACTTGTCATGTGTGGTTTTTGAGTTGGGGTCCAAGACAAAGAGTGTTGTGTGATTTAATTTAATTTACTTGCAATAGAAAATTGGTGGATAGAAAAAGATGTCCAGGGCCACATCTTAAGCACAAAAATATTAATTGCCTGCTCTGGATAAATACAAGGAAGGAAAGAACACAGTTTCTTTTGGACTTGGGAAAACGCTGGATTATTTCTTTTTGAGTTAGCGTTTGTTTGTTTTTTTTTCCTGCTGCAGAAACTTCCAGGGACTTTAAGTTGGTGAAATATGTTGTTAATTTCAGAGAAGGAAATAGAATATGTCACTTTTCTTGGGTTTCATATGTATGAGTGGGTGTGCACGTGTGATGTTTATCACAGAAGATGAAGTTTCCTGAATGTATTTTGGGAAATCCTAGCTGACAGAAAAATTTCTGAGCAAAAATAAAAGATTAAAAAGTATGCATAAAAAAAATGTGTGTGCTATGGTAGATTCCCCGAAAGGACACGGTAAGACGTGGAGACAGACACACGGTCAGCCTGGTCACTGTGTGTCATAATAGCTTTATCTAGGGAGAGGGTATCTCTGGACCATCAATGTCACAGACAAAAATTGAAACAGAGCTCTTGTCTATGGTCAGATTCAGTCTCTGTAGGTTGCACACCAAGCTAGTGGGGTCTAGACTGGGATTCTTGACACATGAGAGTCCCATATATTTTGTGAAAGTAATACATATTTTATAGTGAATATTAAAATTATGTCCCCCATACTATAAGTTGATTGACTTAAAATCTCAGTCACAAGCTCTACAAGATTTATTTTGGCCTATGTGTGCTTTATCTAAGTGAGCCCATACTATATATGTATTTATATCAAGCTATAGATATAGGTAACAGTCCTTCTAGTTTGTATTCTTGTTCATCTCATTCTGTTTTCAGTGAATATATTTCACCTTCATGGGAGCCTTTGTTATGAACAAGTTGTATGAATTACACTTTAGTAGGTAAAATGTGAGATTTGGATTTTGCCAGAAGATATTGTGTGTGTGTGTGTTTTGAATACTTCAAAATAAAAGTATTCATAAATATGTTCTATATGTAGAGACTTTTCAATTGTTATCAAGCAAACAATCCAGGATACTTCCCCACAATTTCATTTTCTGTCTCTCTTCCTCATGAAGCCGAACTGAGAGAAAATACCATGTTGTTGATATTAAATAGAAAATAACATGTGTGGGTTGAGGATTCCACTCAATGGAGAAAAAACTATTTCAGACTTATATTCAGTTGGAATCTGATGGAGCAGAGAATTTCAGACTCTTCCCTTCACAGATGGGAAATACGAAGCTCTGGGCTTGAGAGATGGCTTCGTGGTTTATTCTTGCTGTCGAAGCATAAGGCCCTCAGAACCTCTAGAACCCAGGTTAAAGATGGGCACGGCAAAGGTATATTTACAATCCTAGTGTGGCTACAGCAAGGTGGGGAGTGAAGGCAGGAGAATTCTCAGAAGTTCTTAAGCTAGCTAGCCTGGCATAAACAGTGTGAACATCAAAGAAGGGAGACAAACCAAGTGGGAAGGAAGGACCAGCATTCAGGCCGTCCTCTCATCTCCACACGCATGTTGTGGCACATAGACAAAACTCGTAAAAATGAGTGCATATTCACATACATACAGAAATGCATGCACATGGAAAGAGACCAGAGAAAGAAAAGAAAAAGAAAAGAGATAGAAGGCTCAGCCTGCAGAAGCGCTTTGTCCCAGGTCCCAGGCCATGGATCTTACAGGGCTGACACACTCGGTTTTATTTTTATTTTTTGCAAGTATGTTGATTATTTCTAAGGTTTTTCTCTGACCTTGTCTATGCCACAAAAGTGTTAACTTCGAACTGCTTATAGCTCCTTCCCTTTTCTTTCCCTCCTTATTTTAATTACAGGACTGGGGACTAGTTTGCCTTGAGTTTCACCAAGAAACAATGCATGTTGACAGTAATTCTTCCAGCAAAGAGGCAGGGAGAGCCAGCATCTGGTTTTAAATACTGTTAGCACAATGGAATGAAGGCCCTGGTGAATTTACAGACCTCCAGTGCATACACAGTCCAAGCGGGCCTTTGGGATGGATGTCTTTTCCCTCGTCTCTTTTGGTGGCTGGTCAAGAGAAAGACATTTTCTAAAGAAAAGTATTCAGTTTTGGACAATGGTTCTTCAATTTGCAGGGGACTGAAGGGCTATTTGGCAAGTTGAAGCTGTGCACTGGATTGCCTGTGAAACTGCTGATTGTCTCTGTTGTGTTCCATGTTTTTGTGTGAATGTTATTTGAGTCCAGCATCTTTTTTCTTCCTTTTTTGGTAGCCTCACGCTCTAGCAATGTATTTGTTCCCAGATAATGTCAAGGAAAATGTCCAGAAAGCAAATATAGCCAGCACAACAGCTCGGAGGTGGAAATTTTATTACAGTTTCCTTAACAATGGCCCAGATGAAACAAAAAAACAACAACAGCAAGATGACTTTAAGTTTCTTTGGCTCAAAATCCTTGGCTTTCTGGAACAAAGCTCAAAAAGAAAGATTATTGTGCTCAATTTGCAACCGGGAGGTGCGTGATACCCAGGCCGCCCTCAGCTTTACCCACCTGCACATCCAGGAGCGTCATCCAGGCTTCCCACTCCTCTGCAGACAGAGGCCACTTGCTCCTTTGTGGCCCTGGCTCTGGTGTGTGGGCACCTGGGTGTGCAGGTGGAGAACTGTGTGTGGAACTGTGAGAGGGACAACCTCGGAGCGTCACCTTGCTCAGGAGTCATCCCCCTTGTCGTTTGAGATACATTCGCTCTCAGAATGCACTTAACCCAGTGAGCTGTCTCTCTAATTCCTTTGTTCTCATTTCTTAGAACCACACAGACCCTGTTTGATGCCATTATCACCGTAAAAGCGCCATTTTCTACTGCTAGTTCTCTTATAGCCAAAGTCCAGTTCGGACAAATTTGAAATAATCATCTCTCTCAGAGAACAAACCCTCAGGCTCGAGATCAGCACTTATTTTATTCGTCCATGCAGAGAATGCTTCTTTCTCTCACTAATTATTTAAATAAAAACAAAATTAAAATTATAGGAACCATACAGCCTTGCCTCCTGTCCCACTCAAATGTTCTTTAGTGATCAGGAAGTGACAACCTGAGAAGATTCACCTGTCTGCTTGTATTCTAGTCCATTCAGGCTTGTGTCTTAGTTTTCATTTTTGCCTCCTTATCCTTCTCAATGAAGGAAGCATTGCCTCCTGTTTGTCTGTTAGCAAATCCTGAGGTCCCAGATAAAGACAAATTTAAAGAGAAGACTTTTAGGTGGATTGACAAAGCACACAAAATAAGAAGTGTGTCCTTTTGATACTTTTGAATTCCCAGGCAGGGTAGGTGGATCACAGTTCTCCACAATTCTGGAGTTTTCACTTCTGTGGGTTTGGAAACCCCAGTGCAGGGGAATGAGAGAGACCTGGAATATGGAAAATCGCAAAAAACTTACCACCGTGAACCCGTTTTCCCCTTTGAGTTGAATAAAAACTAATTTGTATGTGGGCAGTGTCTGCTTGAGGGACCTCTTGCTTCATTTCCTTGTATCCTTTGCCCATCTCCTGCTGTCCAATGTTTGGTTTAAAATGATGCCAAACATTTGGGCGGTTGGCTGGATTCTTCGGTTTTCCTCCTCCCAGATGTTTGCAATCCTGTGGACATTGTC